GCTGACGTACATTATTGGTGATAAGAGCATCCACTTGTTAGCTGGGGTCTGCTATAATTGGATTTTTACATTCATTACTCTGGTGAGATCATTTTTGGGATTGGCATTTTATGTTATTTTATTAACTTTACTCTGATGAAATTGTCAAAAAATAGTGTTTACCCTTACAAACCCCTGGTTTAACAATTATTGTAAAACCATTTAATTATAAAGCTCTTTTTTGAGGCATGCATGTTCTAGTAACATGCATTATTTTGATTATTCTTACAGCACGAGGGAGGCGCAGTCACCTACACTTGAGTGACTTTTTAAGTAACACCTTGGAGCCCCCTGATGTGGAGGTATTATTTATTGTCCGATCTCCAAAATGTACTAGTGCTCAATCAATCGTCCTCACTCTGATTTCACTGCTCAGTTTTCATTTCCTTCACTCTGCTCATCCACTGAGGGGGTGCAGGTCCACTCTGACCTTCTCTCCAGTGCTCATCATGCCAACCGTGGGGTACAAGCCTCCTACAGGTAAGGCCACTTCCCTCCGGCCCACCACCTTTCCATTTCTGGTGAAGAACACCTGTTCAAACACAAGGCGACAGCAAGGAGATATAAAGAATATTTAAGGTTTAAGAGGCCCCCTGGTTTTACATTCCTAGATTTTCATAGCATCTCACCGTGACCTTCCTCCCCTCTAAATCTTCTCCCTCGTCCTCCTCATCTTCGTTGCTTGCATACAAGTCATTCTGAACCTCACTGGGCTTGGGAAACACCTCAAAGTCCCAGTCGTCTACGTCATCTGAAAGAACCCAGGTACAGAAAATGAAAGAAAGACAATTAGAGAGAGTGTGTGGGATGAGACACAGTGCTTTTCAAAACAATATAAAAGATGTTCACCTCCACCATCAAGGCTGTAGTCGCGTGGGAACATGATTCCACAGCCCATGATGTCCCCTTCAAAGCAGCGTGGTCCGAACGCGTCCCCAACCCCGCTGCCCTGGAACAGCTTTCCATCATCTACAAAGAACAACAGGGAAGCAGATTAGTGCTTCAAGTCACATACAATCGAGACAGACATCTGCCATTGCTAATATTTATATCAGTCTTTTTGTTTGGTTCAACAGTTTAAAGTAACATCCATCCAACCATCTATTCATTCATTTTCTAAACCACTGATCCTGTTCAGCCAACACACACTGTTCAGACAGGCAAAGTCATTCCCACTCACTCCTACAGGCAATTTAGAGTTTCCCAGTTCAACCCTGGAGCTGCATGTTTTTGGACCCTGCTGGGAGGAAACCAGAGCCAAACCAGAAGGAAACCCACACAGACACAGGGGAGGACATGTATCAGATAATAAGTTGAAACAATAATACTTCAGTTTAGTGGGGACTTTTTTCAGTAATGTTCTGTTCTGGCCGCCCTTGACAGGTGGAAGCCAAATACAGCAACAAAAAAGAATACGGTTTAAAGGTTTTAGCATTATCGACATGGCTATCAATATTTATTACATTTCTGTACTTTCTACCATCGACAGAAACATGAGGGGCAATTTGGTGCCATCACCAATGTGACTGCAGGTGACACAATAAAATATAAGACTGACATAATGACAGTGGGACTGTTACATGGCTGATATGTATACATTGTGCATCATCATGATCTCAACACTCACCAGCGTGATAGGCTATGGACCCTCTGCTCCAACCTGGATGTCTGTTTTTGGGGTAGTCCTGCCAAACAAAAGAGAAAGTGACATCAACTAGTCTGAACAATGCTCCCATGTGGCCCAGGTTCAATACCAAACTGTGGCCCTTTGCTGCAACTCTCTCTCTCTCTCCTCTCATCTATCCAACAAAAGAAGCCTTTGCCAGGCAGAGGAGACGGTCCAAAGTGTGGCCTCATTTCACACAGAAACTCTAGCTCCTTTAACTCTACTCTTTTCCTGCAATGTGTTGAGACTCAGAGATAATACAACTGAAAACCAGTGTAGGCCTTTTTTTCTACACAGATAATGGATCAGTCTAATGACAAATTATCCGACCGATAAGCAGAAATGATATTGGTATCAATAAAATCGTATTAATTCCCACCCCTACCCCAACAGGGGGCATTTTGTAAAACCTCTGGTTTAGTCTTATTCTAGGAGGTCTAAGTAGCTATATAAGCCCCTGTAAGCAGAGCACTGAACTGATGATGGGCACAAGAACAGGTGAGAAAACTAGGTGTTGGAAGGAGAAAGCATGACAAGATGAGACTGAAAGAGTTAAAGACATAAGGTGTCTGTAATGACTGCTGCGTAGAAAACAAGACTTTTCCCTGAAGCAACAAAAGAGAAAAGGAATGCACCATAAACAGTTGCTCCTTTATCCAATATAAGCAACCATTGAGCAACTAGTAGCTGTTAAGCATGTGTTACCCTGAGACAGAGAGACACCTTTGTTTTGATTTTTTGTGCAGTGAGAGCTAATGCTTCCCATCAGCAGACTGATGCGTCTTGCAGGAGATGATGGGGGATGGAACAAAACCTCAGGAATGACCGTTTGATGGATTTATAATGCGGCACCAGAACCGCAGACACGTAGAGAAAAACAATTCCTGGAAAACAATCAGCAAAATGACAGAGCTCCATTCTCCACGCCGCCTGACCCGAGGGCGCGACATGCCCACACACAGTAACTAACGGCAGGGGAGTCGGGGGGGAGCTTAATGTTAAGGGCGAGTGAAACAGTGATCTACCACCTCCCAGGCTGTGAGCATCATCACAGCTGGCAAAACAGCAGTGTGATTAGCAAGACTGATGCTCAGGCAATTAGCGTGCAATAACTGAGAATGAGTACTGCCCGTCCCAGTGGAGAGCAGCAATCTCTGAGCCACACTTCATTTCATATCTGTCATTTAAATGACACGGCGATCCTAAGCAGTTATTACGCTGTTTTATTTATATTAAACACAATGTGCACAAGTTCATGATGATTTCATGTGAGGCCGAAGGCAGCTGATTGCATCTCTGATGTGTAAACATTCAACAAGTCTTCTCTAAGACCCGACGTATTTCCAAAATATGGATCGTCCCTTGCTGTCATCGTTTCAGATTAAAATCACCTAATTGAGCCAAATAATTTAGATAGCAACATTTAATTGCTTAGCCTGAGGAACTTCTTCTTGTGTGCGGTTACTGACTACATGGAAAGAGGAAGTAAAATCAGTCAGAAACAAAAAGAAACTGAGACAAACACAACAATCTCGTCTTATCTCATAAGTAACCTTTCGCATACTTGACTGCAGTATTCTAGTTAACATGGTACATTAGCATGTAAATGGAACAACCTGCTTTCTATGGAAAACCAGATGTGGGGATGAAGTGAGACAATATTTATTCTGTTGTTAGCTTTTCCTCTTTCGGTCATCCATCACTCAGACTGGAAACAGTGAGAGCAGTATGAGGGAGAGTGATGACGAGGTGTGAGGGGGG